ACACCCGAACTGGGAAGAGGCCCCATTAGCACAAAGCCATCCTTAATGCAAGTTGTCAAACCCGCATCCGCATGGCCACTGCTTTCAAGCATCTCCTGAAGCAGACGTAAGTCTTTGCCTTCAAGGATTTTTGCGCAGTGGCCCTTAGGGGGGTTCGGGTCTACTTGTTCCTTAAGTGCTTGAGCCCTCAAAGTCCACTTCCGAAGAGCTTCGGTCCGCTCTCGACCAAGGTCTTCGTAGGAGGTCGTGGCACAGCGTCTGGCACACTTCTCCAAGACATCGGGCACTCCACTATAAAGATGCCTTGGGTGCTCTGCTGCACATGCTGACTTCACGAAGTCGTCACACGAGTGAGGCACAGCAAAAGCCATCTCCCGAATGGGTCCGTGCTCAGTGCCCTAACCCCGGTACAGCACAGAGCGGGTGCATTTGGAGCCAGCGGGGAGGCCATGCACCGGTGGCAATGCGGACAACTCTGAAGACAGTGGTGTAAACTGCTTAAGGACCCCGGTGGGAGGCATGAAACAACCTGGGCCGCGGAGCACAACAAAGCCTGCCCGCGGTGGCACAAGCGGAGGTATCCTGGAGCCTTTGGGTTGTTTGCCGGTCGCCGCCTGGGCCGCTCGGCTAAGCGATACGTGAGGGCAAGAAGTCGCACAGCCCGACAGCACTAAGCGATCACGGATAGCATGCGCAAGACTTTGGCACATGGCAAGCGGGTATGCACTGATGGGCCCATCAGTCGACGAGTCCCATGGTGCATGCTGATGTTGACCATCGCACACAAGGCAGAGCCTCCTCACCTCAGGAAAGTTGTGGAAGAGAGCAGAATGTTTCGGATGGGCAGCACCAAACATGCACTGGTGAAGAGTTGTCTTCAAGAAGCCAAAGGCTTTGCACTTGTTGCCCACGGGCCCTTGCCAAAGCTTACTGGCCGTCGGATTTTCAATGACCAGCAAAATGCCGGCCCGTTGACACCATTCGATGACCTCGGTACACAGGGAATTCAGAGCATCTTGACTTTGTGGCGGTGACATGTGCACAGCAGCAATATTGTCGCGCTTGAGCATGTCCCACAAGAGCGGATGTTGGCTGGGATCAAGAAGATTCAAAGGCACGACGGAACACTTGGTTCGCCCAGTGACTCGAGCAGAAACTCCAACAGAAGCCCCGATCCCAACCTTTTTGACAGCAGCAGCTAGGCCTCCAGTGCCACAGAAGATCTCAAGGAAAAGCATGTCCCCCAAGCATTTGTCATGACAGCGATCTTTCAAGCCCGAGGGAAGGCATGAGGGATCGCACGCCAGCGACTTGGCCGGCGGGTCATTGGTGGAGCACTCTGACATGGACGGAAGGACAAACCCTTGCTTAAGCAACTCGGTGCGATCAGCTGGGCAAAGCAAGTGGGAACCCTTAACCGAAAAGGCAACAAGGACTAACCTATCACCGATCCAGTCAACGGTCTCATGCCTTAACCGATATGCATCAAAGACGGCATGGGTGCCTGCAACTTCAAGAAGGTCTGCACGAACATCCCCAGATGCAGTGGATGTGGTATGAGACCCCTTGGGATTTTCAACAAGCACTTGCCCGCCTCGGAAATCACTGATGCCAATAATGATGTTTGGCAGCTGCTCGTTGTTGACATCAATGTGCAAGGCCGTTTTGACATTCAAGAAAAGATTCAAGCTGGTAAACGAGTGCGAAGGCGCGCACCTCCGGACCATGGCAGTCAGGACCTGACAGGAGCGGGGGAATTTGCGGCTCCCAACTCTGAGGCCCCGCAAGGAACCCTGTGCATACATCCCACAGGAGAAAGTGGCACCGGTTCCATCCCCGCGTGGGGGAGTCTCGTGCGGCAGCATGTTGAACAGAGCATGAATGTCACTTCGGTTTGGAGACTCTCGGACCTTAAGGATTTTGCAAGCGAAATTCTCAGCGTCATGGCAGGGATCACGTGCCAGCTCATCGGCGGGCTCCAATCCCCAAAAGGAGACTTCTTCCATAGGGATTCCAGGCAACTCATCAAGAGACACTGGTTTCTTAATTAGCGCATCCTGCTGGTTGGAACGCAGGGCACCGGCGGGAAAAGGATTAGGGGAAGGGTTGCACGAAGCATCATCGGCATGAACAATGGACTGTTTGACCGAAGCTGGAAAAATTTCACGGCCCTCACAAAGCTCTGATGCTGACGACAAGCCAGAACCAAGGCAGGATGAAGACGCATGTCTGGGACCAGCCGGCGCCTCACCGGTCTGGCACAACTTGATGCACTTCGGTGGACGTGGGCCATCGGATGGCCCACTCGAGGGTCACTCCTTGTTTTCCTTGCATTCTTGCAAGGAGTGATTCTTTCCGCAGCGCATGCAGGCGTGCTTTCCTCTGCGGCAGGATTTCCCTGCTTTCGCGAATTTGCATCCTTTCGCGCAATTGTATGGCCAGCAAAACTTCTCTCCTGACTCAGAGACAGTCAGAAGGTTGGGAATCGACCTAAGTTCATCTGGCATTTCGCTTTTCTGAACCTTGGTGGAGTCAGGTTTGACCTTCTTCTTATCATCAATCTTTCTCTTCTTGTCATCGTCCTTCTTGGAAGGATCTCGCTGAGGCCTCTCCGGAGCCTTGGTCTCCCGAGAAGGGAGCAGGTGGAAGAGAACAGTCGGGTCTCTGTTGAGATCGGCAATTGCTGCATCAAGCGGAAGCGCCCCCGAGGCAGTCCTCCTAAGTGAATGCACGCGCTCTGCCAACCTGACCCATGCGATCCGGTCTGCACGCAAGATCTGCTCAATGCTGGGTTTTGCGCAGCCTGGTGGCGGCTGTTGCTGCAACCTCTCCAACATGAAGGAATGCCACTCATGAAGAACCTCGTAGCTGCAAGCAGACATCAAATCGCAAGCAAGAGCACGGCGCTGGAGAGCTTGATGCAAGGAGAGGGCATCCTGTATGGCACATTTGCCGCGGTCGGATCGATCCTTCACCGAGATCTTGTTCTGATCCAGGACAAGTTCCTTGCCCGGCTTCTCCCTAGCAACTTCAGCAGCGCGAGTATCAAAGCGGTGCGGCTCCAAATACATGGGGCTGTCCTTTTCGAGCATCTGTCCCACGTATAATCATATGAGCCGTGGGAGCACTCCAAAGGTCCAGAGAGCGTCAGACCACGCATCCGAGCCTTCTGCGACGCAATCCTGGCACTCCGCTCTGCTGGCACCAACTCCACCTTCTTGTCGGTCCCTTCTACTGAGGCCTTGACGTGGGCCAAGCACAAAGTTTGGCACTCGAACATCAAATGTCGAAGGGCTGCAAGCGTGCCAACCCCAACGCTCTCGGGATTCAACGGCCTCAGAAGGTTGCGCAGCTGGTCCTCGCTCGGAGGAGTTCCTGGGGCGCTTGTTGCAAAGGCCAGAAGCGAGATGTTCACTATGCCAGCAGTCTTGAGCCGCTCAATTTCTTCTCCTGGGAGTCCGCAATCCTTAGCTCTTGCTTCGAATGCAGCCTCACTCTTCAGCAGAGAAACCATTGCGCAAGCCACTAGCTTGAAAGCATGGCTACGACCTCGAGACCAAAGGACTCACAGAGCACGCACGATCTGGGATGCACTCTAGGAACAGAGATGCGCAACAACTAGAGGGCTCCATCAAGTCGTAGGTCCACATCA